GGGGGGGGGGGGGTGGAGTAAGACATAAAATAACATGTTCCGTGATCCTAAACTTCGATCACTTCTACCCTAAAGCGCTCGTCCCAACCTCCGCCAAGTAGGGCAGGAAGGGCACCAGGCAATCGCCAAAGTGCTCGGAGGACTCGCGGGGAAGCTCCGATGGCAAATGGTCAACCTGTCGATGGACGTTTCGGGGCTTCCTATTGAACCCTAAACCCTAAACCTAAACCTAAACCCTCAACCCTAAACCCTGAACCCTGAACCCTAAACCTAAACCCTAAACCCTGAGGCTTTGGGGTTCAGGCTCAGGGATTGGAGGTTTAGGGGTTTCAGGGCACCCCAAACCCTAAACCCTAAACCCCTACTCTAGGTTCAGGGTTCAGGGTTTAGGGTTCGAAGTTCTCAGCCCTAAACCCTAAACTCGAGACCCGAGTGCTTTGGGGGGTTGACGGTTTCAGGTTTCAGGAGGGTTTCAGGTTTCAGGAAGGTTTAGCCCTCCAGGCTGAGCTAGGGTATCTAAACCGCTTGGATTTAGGGCTTAGGGTTTGGAACCACCCCCTTGGGTTACGGTTAGGGCTTAAAGGGTCAGGGTTGAAAAAACGCTAAACCCTAAACCCTAAACTTTAAACCCCAAAATAACTATTTTTCGCCAGGACGCTGCGTGAAAAAGCACCCCTGGATCATCCTCGGAGCGCTCGAGAGCCGTGGCAGGGATCGAAGCCCAGCACTCTCTAAGGAGCGTAGGGTTTTGTAGGGTCCCGAACTCAGGAATATATGCTACATGCTCAAAATATATGCTGAATATCCTGAAATCACAATAAGGCAAATGTGGGCTCTCTGGAACGTTAGCTCACTGGGGTTTGGCGGCTTGCACACAGAGTTTCGAAATTGCGACGGACCACCTGTCTAATTTATCACGGCCCACATCGCCTCCCTTTTCGGCTTTAAGTTAAAGTCAAGTCTTCCGAGCTTAAACCCAAACCCTTAAGCCCTTAACCCTAACCGGTAAACCAAAACACCCCCAAGACCCTAACCCTAAACCCTAAACCCTAAGCCCTAAACCCTAAACCCTAAACCCTAAACCCTAAACCCTAAACCCCAAGCCCTAAACCCTAAACCCAAAGTTCATGGCAGAGCAGCCAAACAGTCCGAGAGCTGGCCCGTCATGGCGTTCAGAATGTGGAAGGGCTGCTCAATGCTTGCGAACTGTCGCGTGGGCACAGACCTCTAGGGCTTATATACATAAGGTTTACCTGAGGTTTAGAGGCTTTGGGTTTATGGGGTTCAGGGTTCAGGGTTGGGAGGCTTCCATTACGATCGCCTTGCCTTTAGATGTCTCCCTAACCCTAAACCCCGTAACTATAGAACCCAAACCCCTGAGCACTTACTGCCCGAGCCCCCGAGCCGGTGAGGGAGAAGCCGAGCCGAGCAGCCCATCCGCATCGCAAGTGATGTCGCAGACGCCTAGCAGCTTGTCCCGACCTCCCTCCACGTGTCGATGCAGATCGTCTCTTGTGAACCTTCGATCTGGAGGGTTTCCGAAAATAGGGGACTCTAATAAAGTACCCTAAATAGTAGGATCCTTATTATGAGGACCTCCCAAAATGAGGTACCCCTAATTTTCGGAACTCCTAGATCTGGGTGGGAGAGTAGGGTCCTTTCTTGTGAGCCAGCTCCTAGGACTACCGAGGCTAGCATCTACAAGAGCCTTTATATGTTTAGGGTTTTGGGTTTAGGGTTTCTTATATGTGATCCCAATGGTGGAGGAATCGTAGGGTAGAGTAAGGTTGACGGAACAGCTGTTCTGTGACACCGACGATCGACTGATATAAGAAACTCGAAATCCACCCAAACAATCTTGCATGTGGAAGCACAGCAAGGTAAAATGATGATGGACATACAGTCTCGACTATCTGCATTTTACAGGCAGGCACTCCCATGGCAGCTCAGACGCAGCTTGGGAAAGCGTGCGTCCCAGTACATGCCGTTCAAGATCACGGTCGCATAGGGGAGCACGGCGTCCTGTCAGGGCTGAGACTCACCACGTGCCGTTTCGCACGTGACGCCATGAGCATTTCTGGTCTCGTAATGGAAGCTAAGGGATTTAACTTAAGCTGCCCAAATAAAGAAACCTCCCATTATTTACTCTAGATCCTTGTTATGGTAACTTACGTTAAAAAAACTCATTAACAAGAACCCGGACGAAGTTGTAAGCTTGACCATCCGGGCCAGCAGACACGTTGTAGACGCCGACTAAAGGTCAACCCCGAAACCCGAAACCCTAAGCCCCAAACCCGAAACCCCGAAACCCTAAACCCCTAAATCCCACACCCGAAACCCCGAAACCCGAAACTCCCCAAACCCCTAAACCCTAAACCCCTGAACCCCGAAACCCGAAACTCCCCGAAACCCTGGGGCCTGAAAGGTGGGTTGGTAATTTTCCGGCTGGCAGTAGTAGCCCTCCTTGTCGAAGGCCCCACCATCCCGACGCTTCACCTCAACGGCTTCAGGGGTTTAGGGGTTTAGTATAGGGGTTTAGGGTTTAGGGGTTTAGGGTTTGGGGTTTGGGGGTTTAGGGGTTTAGGGGTTTAGGGTTTAGAGGCTATAACTATGATGCTGATAAGCGTACTGACTCCAAGCTTGATATAACCACAAAGCCTCTGTCCTGTCTACACACGCACCCTTATATATATATATATATAGATAGATACATATATATATATATGTATGTATGTATGTATGTATGTACGTATACACACTATGTCTATGTGCGTGCATGCATGCATGCGTACTTACAGACATGCACATGTACAAGCTGGACGTCTCAGCGCCTGA